TTTCCACATTGCTGGGACACAATTCCTGACATCCACAGCTTAAGGAAGAAGTTTATTTTGGCTCACAGTTTGTAAATGTTTCAGTTTAGTCAGATAGCTCCAAGGCAGAACCAGCATGGTGGAAGAACCTGGGAAGAGGCGTGCAGAGAAAGTTGAATGGAGAAGCTGGAAAAAAGACCTGCCCTTCCAGGTCCTGCCCACAGTGACCCCACCTCTTCCAAACAGAGCCCACTGCCTAAGAGCAAGTCAACCATACTGCCTCCATAATCCAATCACATTTCAAAAGCCCCACCTTTGAGCTCATGAAGCTTAGGGGGACATCCACACATACTCCATAACTACTGGCATCTACCTTTGATTTTACTCTTTAATTTATTTAAAGAGATGGATGAAGAGCAAGGGAAGGAATGAGAGATTAAAAAAATTAAAATGTCCTGTGTACATGTACCAAATCCCCATGATGAATTAATTTTTATATACTGCAAACCTGTAATAATAAAAGTAATGTTTTAAAAAATTTTTAAATAAAAATAGTAAAAATTAAGATAGGTCTCTATTCTTTACAGCAGTGTGGGTATTAAATAATCCATAAAACCTGCAAAGTTTTGAAAGCCATTTATCACAATTAGTTGTTTCTGGGATTCCTTCATTGAAAAAAATGACAATTTGTTTAGAGTAAGCTTTGTGACTTTGAAATCAAATTAAAGAATAAAAGTATCTACTTCGAGGAAATAGACAAATCTCACTCCATGCTACCTGCATAGATGCAAAATTTTAAAGAGTGACTCCTTTCTGCACTCTTCTTTGTACCCCAAGGGAGCTGAATTGTTTGGAGAATAGAAAGACAATGGAACAATGTACTTAATTAGGAGCTCTGACAATTCAAACCTTGAGATGCTGGAAAGTATAAATTCACCATGTACTCCTCCCCTGGAGTTCTCTGATCTCAGCCTCCATGAAAACATAAGGGGGCCTCCTAGACAACATGAAGGAGAAAAACCACTGGAGAGAATCATGTATGCTACTGAGGGCAGATAGTTTAAGAAACAGAAGAGGAGACAAGGTGGGTAGCCGGCTTTCCCTACAGAATTATGCTGAGAAATCACAATATTCTTTTAGCTTGTGAAGGTGATATCTTTGTACTTTGAAGGAAATTTAGTTTCCACTGACACGTCATTTTCACCCATTCAGCTTCCTTGTCTCCTTCTGTACCCTAGAGTCTTTTTCCAGTAAGTTATTTTCTGGAGAGTCTTCAACTCTAATTTGCTCTTTCTTATAAGTTGTGCCCTCCTGTTAGACTTCCTTCACTCAATTATTTATTTATAAACAAATCACTGAAAGCCTATTATGCAAGAGATATTTTCTATTTTGTTTGAAGTTTGAGTTTTTCTATTTTATCCTCTATTTTCACAGGCAGATTCCACTTCTTCAAAAACATATTCATTGCACATTATTGGAGTTAGCATTCAATCTTACTGTTCACAATAGCATACAAATACTGTAAATGGTTCTGATATTTAATAATCATTCCAATTTCCTTTTACCATATTACTGAGCCTATTACATATTTAGGAAACAATTGAATGATTATAGTTGCAGGGACTGTTTTGCTATTTTCATAAAATTAACACAAATATTCTATGTTTTTATGTAGCATTTCCTCTATCCTCTCTTTTGAGACTAACCATAGTCTATTGAGTTAGCAAAAATGTCTTTTGTTTCTTTTTTTTTTATTAAATTCTTTTATTGGTACATTATAGGTATACAACAAAATTACATTTCTCATTGGGAATTGTACCTTTACATAATGCATCTTGGTTCTTATTTTTTCCCCATTCCT